GTCCGTTACCTACTCAGTCACTCATCTTCCCTGAACTTGGATTTCTGATTTTTAACAGGGATCCTATAACTCTACCTTCAGCACTACAACGGTTCAGCAAGGTTGAAGCATTTAACACACATGTGAAAGCGCAGTCCTGACCCGCATTGGGTGCACAATAAATACTGAAAGGTTTCTGCCCCTTTATGCATGAAGTTGACCTCTCAGGTGTCTCAAGTTCAGCCCTACCCGCCCCCCTCCCCTGCCCTCACCCAGAAGGGCAAAACAAGTCAGGAAACAAATAGCTTCTACCTTGGAATCAAAACTCACCTTGACTTCTCCTGCCCCTGGAGCTATTCTTGGTAATTAATTCTCTTCCTCTCAGGTTCTGGCCCTGCTTGCTTTGATCGACAGGGTTGTGCCAAGGCCTTTGACTCCAGTGACACTTCTGAAAATCAAACTAGCATCTACCTATCCTTAACACAGTTCCAACTCTACCTGCCTTAGCTTAGAACTGGTCTCATGCCTACCCTGCCTGAAGTACCTGTCAGATCCTTCTGGCTTCGAAAGTCTCTGTTCCAGATGCCTCCTGGCAGATCCTCCTAGGCCCATAACAGTTAATACCACCAGGCTCTGAAGAATCGCCCACCCTCGGGCAAGGATCTAGAAATTATTAGCGTCTATTACCAGCAAGCCTCAGTCTAGTGCTAAGCCAAGGGAGGCCACTAGGCCACCCCGTGTGGAGTAGCTTCAAAGGGACACTAGAAATAAAGCAAAGTCACAACTGCCCCCCCATATAAATTCTCGAGTACCCACAGTTCTAGTCGACCCATCTTGAAAAGCAGATTCTAAGATTAAATAAGGTCCTGAAAAGAACACAGAGGATCAGGGACTCACACAGACACACTATGAAAAGGCTGGACCTCTTCATGGCAGAAAGCTAAGAAGGGTCAATTCACCGCCAAAAGACCCTTGGACAAAGAGGAGGAGCCCTCAGTTTGGGGTCCTTTTCCAGTGCGGGTGTGCTCAGGAAAGTCACTTCCCCTCTCTAGAATGCTGGTTCTCCACCTGGGCAGTGAGGTAGCTGCAGCCAGTGTGCAAATCTGGCTGAGGCTCAGATTCTCTTGGGAAGGTTTTTACATTTTGCAAGTATTACCTTCCCATCCCCACAGAAGATCTACTGAATCTGAATCTCCCCAGCCCTAAAATCTGTATTTTAGGGATTCTCAGGTGGTTTGGGAAACTGAATTCTCAGTCCCCTTTCGCTATGACCATCTATGATGCCTTTGAGATTTCAGAAAGAATGAACAAAGGCAACCAACAGTAGGAAGTGTGAGCAGGACAAGTGCACACCCGTGAGAAGCAGAGTGCCCCTTGCATAGTGAGCCATAAACTCAGAAACTCCATACCCACAAGCGGCGGTGGAAATATAGGAAATAGAAACTGATTCTAAACAACTCTGGGCAGACTTCGGAGGGTGAGAGCCATCCCACGGAGCAGGCAGGACCACCATGCCGTGAAGGCTGCTAGAAGCAACAGAATTCTGGCTGGATGAATCCTGAGTCTGACCTGGGAGGGCAAATCCTCAGTTCCCATGGACCCCTCTCTAGAAAGAGCCCTTTCTCTGGGCCTTCCATCTGAAATCATGGAAAATAAAAACAAAAATTTTTGTGTAGAAACCACGTGAGACTAATATAGGTCCATTGAATTGGGACAATACAGGTCCCTTTATTGAGAAATGGCCCTAGAGTCCCTCCTTTATGGAACAGGAGATGTAATTCTCCAGATCTGGTGTCTGCTTCCCACAATGAGAAATCAAATACGAAGTTACATGCGTTTTAAACTATGTTCATTGTGCATCTCTAACGGTGAATGTCAAGCGAACTGCTTGGCCCAGGTCATCACCTGATTCTCTCAGAAAGTCCAAGTGGGAGTATTATAACCTCCATTTGTTCAGATTTAAAATCTGAGGCTCAGAGAGGTTATGTGATCTGCCATAGGTCTCACAGCTGGTTGGGGCAAAATCCAGGATGAGAGAACGTAGCCTATCTGAATCCAAAGCCCCTTTTCCTACCTCACCAGCCGTCTCCCCGCCAGCTGAGTAGAAGCCCAACATCTTGGGAACATTTCAGGACAATGTCAACCTAGGCTGAAGTTAGAATTGGGCTCTGCTGAAGGGGAAGCGCCCAGGTAGGGTGCCAAGCCCATACCTTGAGCTCTCTTCCCCCGCACACTCTTGAGCAGTGGTTCTCAACCTTCCTAATGCCGCGACCCTTTTATACAGTTCCTCATGTTGTGCTGACCCCCAGCCATAAAATTATTTTCATGGCTACTTCATAACTGTAAGTTTGCTACTGTTATGAATCATAAATATAATGCAAATATCTGATATGCAGGATGTATTCTCATTGTTACAAAGGGGTCATGCCCCACAGGTTGAGAACCGCTGCTCTTAAGGAAAAACATATACCCACAAAAATGTATATACATATATATGGAGAGAGACAGAGTTTCCAGTGTTGAACTAACTAAACCACCCACCATGCTTCTGCCTCCAATTGATGAGGCCACCTCACCCCCACCACACCCCCAGGCTCTTGCTATAGGCACAGACTGGGTCTGCAGAACAGGCTTTAGGGAGCTGGAGCTAATGAGAGGACTAGGCTTTCCAACTCCCTCCCCGAGCTTTTCCTGTGCCCACATCCTCATCTCCAACCCTCTGAGTTTAAATTCCCAGGTGCTGCTGATGCAGAATCCACAGTCACAGAAATCAAAATCCCAGCCCTGCTCCCGCCACATGCCCAGCTGTTGCCGTCCTGTCTGGGATAGCACCAGCCTTGGTTACGGACAGGTGTCTCAGACGTACCCTAACCTTTAGAGTCTAGGGCTTTACACTGAACCTTCACATTGCTTGCTTCCTTTAACGTGCCACCCCGGCCTCTCTCACTGGCAGAGGAACTAGATCAAAGTCCCCCAGTGGATCAGAAATGAGGCTGCCCCCAAACCCAGGTGTTCTTGCTGACTCCAAAGCCCATGTTCTTTTTTTTTTTTTTAGAAATTTCATTTTACTTATTTATTATTTTAATGTTTGTTGGTAATTTTAGTATCTTCTTTTTCTATTTTTTTTTAATTTTTTTATCATTAAATCATAGCTGTGTATATTAATGCATTTATGGGGTACAGTGTGCTGATTTTATATACAATTTGAAATACTTAAAACCAAAGCCCATGTTCTATCATCCCTCAGACACAGTCCACATATACAGGGGGCCTGTAAAGTTCGTGAGCAATTTAAATAGCATAAATAAATTACACACCAACTCTATGGCCCCTCCCCGTATATTTTGGACACTGGAGGAAGTAAAAGGACAAGACACCAAACAAGCTCTGCTTAAAAATGCCTTCTGCAAACAGTCCTTTGAGTGAACATGTCCACCCCCTTAATAACACAAACACATCAGAAGACCAACAATTGGCCACTGTTACCACCTTCCAGTCCTTCAAATGACCCATCAGAAACCAAATAGAAATCAACATCTTTATTCGAAAAAATAAAAAATAAAAAGCAGCTCAGAAAAGTGCTGAGGACTCAGCATTGAGCAGACCACATAGTAAAACTCCAACCAGTATTTCTGTCTCCCAACCTCAGGGCAGGGCAATGTGACCAAAACCCACCACAACTGGCCCAGTGCACAGGTTGTCCAGCCTGCCCAGCATAATCTCCAGCTACTGTTTATCTTGGCAACTCAAACTAAACTTTCACCTTTTACATCATCGAATTAGTTCAAAGTCTCTAAAAATGTTTCCACTTTAATGTTTCAGTGAACAAAAACTATGTACAACCAAACTAATTTTTTTATCATCTTCTATAGAGTTCAACTCAGTCTCTCTTTAAAGAAAAAGAATTTCTGCAGTCTTATGAGATTTGCGTATTTTAAGTAAAATTAATTTATCAAGAACACGTCCTTTAAAGTTTTAACAGGTTGTAAAAATGTTAGAATTCTGGCCAGTGTGAGATCTGAGAACTCCCTAAGGTCCGGCCTGGCTCAAAGAGAGAAAATTTGGAAGGAAATGGCTCACAGACGGGAAGGGGTGGGGAAGGTCCATGCTGAGTGCTCCCGTGACACCCCTAAGGACACTGGGTGAGGACACAGAGCACCAGGAAGCAGGTGAGGGACTGGGGACGGGAGAGGAATGCATCTAAGACGAACTTGACCTGTTTGTTCAGTTCTTCATACTCTGTTGCAACGAAAGCTGCTCCCGTTGCATTTCAGACACAACCTGGCTGTACTGAGGAGGGTGAGTGCTGCCCTGGTGCGGGCCTGTTGAGGGATGCCCAGCAGACAGGCCTAGCTGTGGCCAGGGAATGCCAGGCTTCCTGCTCCCACTATTAGCCTGGGCCCTGGACCAGGTGGGGTCATAGGGCTGACTCTGTGTTCAGTTCACTCCTTCTGTCTTCTCTGAGCTAAGAGGTTCCCAGATGCAGAAGGAGAATAGGTTAAATGCAGTCACAACAGCACAGACTGAGCATTTACTGTTTACCCGGCACTATGCTAGCCTCAGTGAGAGACTGCCCATCTGGAAGGGGCCCTCTCCCTCTCCTCGGAACTCTCCTAACGTCCTGTACTGTGTTTGGCTGCTTCCCTCTTGGTCTCTCGTAAGACTGGGGCCCTATCCACCTCAGCATTGTCTCTCCCCTAGTATCTGACCCAGGGTCTAGCACCTAGTAGGCTTTCAACAGAAGTTTGCAGTTTGGATATACACCTAGAATCAACACATAGAATCCCATAATGGAATAAATGTATTCATGATCTATGTACAAATGACTTAATAAAAAAAAAAGAAGAAGAAGAAGTTTGCAGTTTGAATGACTGACTGGCATTTCTAGCCCCCTGACCTCATTGCCATCTTGGAACAGAGGTTTGGGGCCATGGGGCAGACATCCCAGAGGCAACCCCAGGAGGCCCCTGAGAAGGGAGGGACCAGCTGAATGAGTGACTGCTTCTCCTCTTGTGCCACAGTTCACTGGCTGTTCACCACGTGCGGCGCCAGTGGGCCCTATGGCCCCACCCAGGCCCAGTGCAACAACGCCTATCAGAACTCCAACCTGAGTGTGGTGGTGGGGAGCGAGGGCCCGCTGAAGGGCATCCAGATCTGGAAAGTGCCAGCCACCGACACCTACAGGTGAGTATGGAGAAGGGGGAGACCGGGGGGCACACCCCACTCTCCTGAAGAGGACTGGAGCCCTGCCTGTGGGTACGTGCCTGCAGATGCCCCAGGATCAAAGGCCACAGACTCCAGCCCATGGTGGGGCATAAGGGCTAGAGATGGGGAGATTTGGGATAGTAAAATACAGCAACAAAGGAATGTATACCTTTTGTTCTCTAGTTCATGGAGATGCTACGCATGCATGAGGTAGCCCCAGAATTATTATTAATAATGATAATTATGACGGGCTGTTCTTTGAATGTTGCTTGATGCCCTTCAAACGAGACAGAACACATAAGATGTTTGGGAAACAGAAGTATGATGTGCAGGAAAGCTGATGCCCTTTTCTTGAGCCTTGTTTCCTGGGCCTTCACTGTTGGAAAGAAGAGCGAGTTGTTCTGGAACATTCATCCCCAACCCCCTAGTATCCCACTGGAGCAAGGCCAGGCTGGTGGCAGGTCTGACTCCACTTGGCCACTTCAAGGCCATGGCACTAAGTGAAGCTAAGGGGAAGAATGGAGGGCTGGTTAAAACCCAGAGGGCAAGGCCCCCCTCAGGATCACCTGATCAGAAGCATCTGATTCTGTGCAGCTCAAGTGCAGTCCAGGAATTGTGATTTCTAACAAGTTCACAAGTGAGGTCAATATAGTCTTTTAGAACCACGGCCTTTGATCAGACCCTCACACGAGCTCTATCCATGACCAGGCAAGGCCTCATTTTACAAATGAGGACACTGGGGCTCAGAGAGTCACGAGCCTCCCCACAGCCACACCAGGCAGAAGCAGCCACCAACTCTAGGCTGCTGAGGCCTGGCCCGGTGCAGCTCCCCGCACCAGAGCACTGGCAGAACTGATAATGGGCGGGGGTGGGGGGGGTGGGGGGGCAGGGGGGCCCACAGGGTGTCATCACTCAGCCCTGATGCTGCAAATGCCCCCCCAAGGCCGGACATGGGTAGGAATTGAGCTCCACAGCCTCCCAACGTCCATCACATCCTCAGCCCCCTGGGAAGGAAAGAGCTTCTCAGGTTGCCTGTTTCCCCTGGTGAGCTTCCCCTGTGGTAGCCTCATCCCTGGGTCCTTGGGGGAAGATGTGTTAAGGAAAGTCCTTAAGTGCTTTTTAAAAGCACTGGAGGCAGGAAAGCTCTAACAAGGTTGGTTGCAATCAAGTTAGTGGCCCCAGGGCCTGCACACCCCCAGGAAGTGTCCTAGAAGATATCCAGCCACCTTTGGGCCCTCTACACTGAGCAAGCCAGACCTCTGCTTCCTGCTGAGCCCACCCCACATACAAAAGCCAAGAAGAAGGAAGCAGAAGAGCAGAAAGATGCAGAGACCCCCATGGCAAGCCCCCAGTAGAGCCCATTGTCCGTCTCCTGCCCAGGGAACCTGCAAAGCCAGTTTAGCCACAGATGGGGACAAACAGGAGATGCTTCACTGGGAGAAGGAGGTTCCTCTTGAACAATATATCCCCCGCAGCAATGTGAATCAGACCTACTGCCAAATTCACACAGGTTGTTTATAATAATCGCTTGAGACTCTTTCCCCATCAATGAGAGGAAAGGAGTTATCAGCACCAACTCAGCGGGTTGCTAGTTGATGTGCAAGTGCCCAGCGTGATGCCTGCAGGTGGCAGGTGCTCCCTGGCCTGTGGGCAGAGAATCAGCTGCAGCAGTGGCACTATCAGGCCACAGGCAGCAGCCAGATAGGATTTCCAAAACAGATCTGTCCTGCAGGCAGATGACTTTTCTTTCTCCAAAGACTTTTTTCTGACTTCCTCACATGAGCTCTGTGTTTTGAAAGCCTCGGCCTGCCAGAAGAACTATACTTATTAAATAATAATTCATTCATTTTCCCATGTATTATTAATCACAACCCTCTCTAAGTCAAGTTTCTGATCTGCGTGAAACACCACGGTATTGCCACATCGCATTGATAGGCTCCAGCCCAAATCAGAGAGCTGTTTCTGCTCAATGTCTTTGAAATATTGAGACTAGCTCGTGGCCCCAGCACTCTCCAGCAAGTTCCTCATTAGAAGTTTGCAGAAGGAAACATTTTCCTTTTGAAGCAGGACATTTTTGAAATGTCCAAATTAGTAAAAGGGACATTTTGATTTGGCCCAAGATAGGACCATATCAAAACGGAAGAATCAAAGCCAAGTCTTCCTTTTTCTGGGAGACTTTTTCTCCACAGTAATTATTATTACTTAGTAAGTATAGTTTATCTGGTGAGAAAAATAGGGGACACAATGGAAAACATGAAAAAAGGTGTTTGGAAACAGAAGATGGAGCGCCTGCCTGAGGGGACGCACCTGCCTGGCCAGTACATGTGGCAGTTGCCTGAGCCCTGGGACTCAGATGCGCCTACTGACCTCTCTGCCTGCTGGTCAGGGAGGTGAAAGGAAGAGGGGATAACACTTTTGGGGCACTTTATGCCAAGGTGTGACCATCATTGTCTATACCTCTTTGAGGATATGTAGAGTTGAAAGCACCCCCACTCTTCAGTGGCCATTTATCCTGGGCCATCTCCCACCCGACCCCACCCTCCTTCCCCTTCTGCCAGGCAGGAGAAGACAGCAGCTGGTTTGGGTCTGCCCTCATCTCTCCCTCCATCCCCAGCTTGCCCTGTCCTTGATTTGCCACTTCTGTCTGTCAAACAGTGAGGGATGGCACTCACTGTCACTATCTCTGAATCCATGTGTCTTGGTGTCCGGGCTGTGCCCTCCTGCTTTGCAAATCTCAAGGAACCTTGTTAAGCACCTCTTAGGATGCTGCGCCTGACACCAAGGGCATAAGGAGATTAGTACCCAGCTCCTGCCCCAGTGGGGCTGCAGCCAGTGGAGGCAGTGGCACGGAGACTGATATGGAGGCTGACACAGGTGCTGCTGCCCGAGGCCCAGAGAAGAGCCCTGCGCCAGCCTGAGTCATGAGCCGCATCCACCGGGAGACAGGCACCTGGGTTAGGTCTGAAGGTGACAAGAGTCATCTACAGAGAAGCAGAGAGGGCCTGCGTGGAGGAGGGAGCAGCCATGCAGGGCCTGCTGTGGGCACAGGAAGTTGCTGTGGCTTGAGTCCCAGCCGGCCTGTGGGGGCCAAGGGCTGGGAACTGGAACATCACCCCAAGTGCCTCCAGCTCAGGCGACACCGTGTGAGAGTGGGAGAGAGGCAGGCTGTCCCATCACCCAGGCCAGGAGGAAGATGGACGGAGGGGAGGGGTGGGCAGGAGGTGGCTGGGAGGTGGGGCCAGTGTGACCTGTGACAACCTTAGCACCCTGGCTGGGGGCTGAGGCAGCCAGGCAGTGAGAGGCAGTGAGAGGCAGTGGCTCTTCTACAGCACCTGGCTGAGGAGGAATGGCAAGGGTGACAGGGACCAGACAAGGGGCTTTTGGGGCTGTGCTCTGAGTGACCACAATGTCTAGAGAGTGGGGCAGTGGCTAGAGTGGAGGGAAGGTGGGAAGCCACTGTCATGCCAGGAGAAGAGCACAGATGATGGGGTTCGTGCTGAGGGGTGGGAGGGCAATATCCTCAGAGTTGTCATAAAACAGACACAGACAGGGACAGAGACCAGCTCCAAACCCGGGGAGGGCTTCAGTGAGAGTACCTGTGACGGGCTCCTCAATGGACAGTCGGCACCCCATAGGAATCACCTCCCCTCTTCATCCCTCTCTCTCCCTCTCTGCCTTCCTGCCTCTGTGGGGACTCCTCA